CTTATAGAGAAGATTCAAAACTGGGAACCAACTGACAGCTTATAGAGAAGATTCAATACTGGGAAATCAATTGACAGCTTATAGAGAAGATTCAAAACTGGGAACCAACTGACAGCTTATAAAGAAGATTTAAAACTGGGAAATCAATTGACAGCTTATAGAGAAGATTCAAAACTGGGAAACCAACTGACAGCTTATAAAGAAGATTCAACCTGTGAACCAACTGACAGATTATAAAGAAGATTCAACACTAAGAAACCAACTTATAGCCTCTAAAGAAGATTCATCACTGAGAAACCAACTGACAGCTTATAAAGAAGATTCAACATTGGAACCAACTGACAGCTTATAAAGAAGATTCAACACTGAGAAACCAACTGACAGCTTATAAAGAAGAAGTTACTCCCATTTGATGGAAAATAATAATAAAAGCCATAAAAATACATGTCTCAGTAAGTAAGTATATACATTTAAAATGTCACATATTTTCGTAGTAAACATTAGAAGTATTGTTTGACGTAGATTCTTATTTAATCCTTATTTGAACTTAGCAGGCTTCGCTAACGTATGCTTTCTCCTTATTGGTTGAGACATGTTTCGGGTTGTTGAGTGTAATTGAATATGTTTCACCCCCAAAGCATTATTATTAGATGCCTGTAGGTTAATTAGGATTAAAAATGCATATTATACAAACCAGATCAAAGGGAAATTGGCCACTGGTAATTCTTCTAAACTGACATTATTAACAATACCTCCTACCAAATAAACAATAATAGAGTACAGTCTCTTGCCAAATGTGTATTTTTTGTTTTTTTATTGTGAAGCCCCAAAAATACACAATTGGCTCTCTTTACTGCTCCCATCACGGATATTAAAACCCTGGTATTGTACAGTCTCTGGATGAATGTATATGAAAGAGATTTTTTAGTTGTGAGACAGATAAAATAGTATTGTACAGTCTCTTGCCTTATGAGCTGTATGTGTTTTATTATCACAGTTCCTGCAATATGAGCTACATGTGTATTTTTATCACAGTTCCTGCAATATGAGCTACATGTGTTTTATTATCACAGTTCCTGCAATATGAGCTACATGTGTTTTATTATCACGGCCACTACATTATGAGCTATATGTGTTTTATCATCACGGCTACTACATTATGATTCACATGTGTCTTATTATCACAGCTACTACAATATGAGCTACATGTGTTTTATTATCACAGCCACTACATTATGATTTACATGTGTTTTATTATCACAGCCACTTCATTATGGGCTACATGTGTTTTATTATCACAGCCACTACATTATGATTACATGTGTTTTATTATCACAGCCACTTCATTATGAGCTACATGTGTTTTATTATCACAGCCACTACATTATGATTTACATGTGTTTTATTATCACAGCCACTACATTATGAGCTACATGTGTTTTATTATCACAGCCACTACATTATGATTTACATGTGTTTTATTATCACAGCTACTACAATATGAGCTACATGTGTTTTATTATCACAGCCACTACATTATGATTTACATGTGTTTTATTATCACAGCCACTCATTATGAGCTACATGTGTTTTATTATCACAGCCACTTCATTATGAGCTACATGTGTATTATTATCACTGTTCTTTGCATGTTTCAAGATAAAATACGGGTTCAGTAAAATATTATTATTATTATCATTATTATTTTGTTGACTTTTTGTGTCAGGGCCGATCGCGGCCTAGTTGTTAGGATGCCGGACTGTGGATGTGGGGTTCCCGTGGGTTACGCCCCGCTTCCGTCCAAAAGAAAAATCGTACTCTGCACTTTGGGGCCATGGGCGCGTTATAAAAGTGATACTATTCGATCTGGCAAGAGTAGCTCAAGAGTTGGCGGAGGATGATGTTCATTAGTAGTTTTCTCTCTAGTTCACCATTTGAAAAATCAAATAAACCAACTTTTGAGGCACGTTGAGAATTTTTTTTTCACTCAAAATCCACTAAACTCTGAAAACTGGCCATACACATTACGTAGCTTAGAGTCGTATTTTTCCGCTACTTGTTTTACAAGATCCTGTATTAATACGCCGTTTCATATCAACTACATTATTTAACTAGAATAAGCTTCAGTGCCTTTGTAATAAGTAAAAAATAACACTAACTGTTTTGTTAAAATGTACCTCATAAAGTACTTATAAAGCCATAGGCGGTAACGTAACTGAGCTTATAATGCGAATTATCAGAAGACTGTATTTTTATTCCCTTTACCAAACCAGGCGTAACTAACAAGCCTTTTCTATGTTCTTCTTGTTGTTTGTAACACTCGTTAAGTCTTGGGGGAAAAACCGCTCACAAAAGCATAACAATTAAGGGCCTGAATTAGATATAACTAAGCAAGACACTAATAAAAATATCCTAGAGAGAGACAGGGATAAAATAACGCCCCCTAGGGAAGAAAAACATGTTTAAAATCCAGATTTGCTTTAAAATGTGTGTTGTTGTTTCTTCTATAAGTCTGACATTTATTTAATATCATATTCAAAGCTGGAGATTTTTGGCATATAATATTAACAGTTGGATGATTTAGTGCACTATACGGAAATATTATATATTTTTATGAAATATGTCTCGTCAAATGTGTGAGTAAATAATAAAGTGAACAATGTGTTTTAAACATGGTTATATAAGTCAGAACTAAGAGCACTTATAAAAACAGTACCTAAAATTAATGATTTTTAGGGTATTTATTTCGCTGTATTTAACGTATAAGAATAACAGATGGTCTTTAAATCAAAAAAAGCGTTTTACTTCATAACCTCGTGGCGCGTCTAACTAAAAGTGTTGGTCTCTTTCTGTTACATTTACGACGTGTTCTCACTAGCTCGTACATATCGCCATCTGGTGGTTATAAGGAGGCGGTATTTATTTAAAAGCGGTAGCTTACTCGTCTGTCACTCAAAGAACAAGAAATACCGCAGGAAGACCAAACCCCGGAACAAACTTTCAACAAGTGACGACGCCTAACTGAACACAGCTATTATTTTTTTTAAACCCATAATATTAGGACTTACGGGACGTATTCAGCGATGTTGAACTGTAGGTTGAAGATAAGCCTAGTGTATTAACAACAACTGATTTAGCGCGATTTTTGAAAGGAAACGTAACTTCGTATTTGTTGAAAACAGATGCTAGTTTCAGGGTAAAAGACCGTGTTGAACAAAGTGCGTTAAGGACCAATAAACAAAAGGACTAATAAAACATTTTTTTGCAAGGATGACAAAGAACTGAAAAGCTCCAATGCCACGACTTCACTTTCTGATCATTGCGCATCTTATTGGTTTTAGGTGTAAAGATATTAGTTATAAATAAACAGAAAAAGATGCGAACGTTTAGAGTTTAACTGTAGATGGCTTCTTCGAAGGTTTGCTGTGCCATCTCTCCTTTAGCTCAAAAACTAAAACTAAAAACAAACCAAAACTCCCAGATTTCAGAAGAACGATCTGTCTTTGAACACGTGCAAATGGGATTATGCAGTCGTAAATAAATTATTTGTAAACTCGTATTTGACTTCTGACATCGCATCCTTAAAGGTCATAAGTAGAACGGTCAGAATCTAAATACTGTATTGTGAGTTCTTGGTTTTTTGTTTGTTTTTATTTTAAGAAGGAGACTATGCGAAAAGCTGCTACCTTCATACTTTTTTCCATACTTCTCGTGCCGGCACGTCTCTCACCGGAAAATTCTCTCGTGCCGGCACGTCCTTCAGCGGAGAATTCGATTTTCACCATGGGATATTTGACGGGCTCGAAACGTCGGCCAGGCAACAAGGACTACCCGAGGTACGGACTAACGATATCCGGTGCTATAAGCCTAGCCGTGGACGAGATAAATAAGGACCACCCTCTTCGTGACAACCACACGCTAGACTTTCTCGTGGCTGAGACTTACGGCGAGGAAACGGAGAGTATTTTTCAGACAGCTAAACTCTGGACCCAAAACGTTTCGGTGTACATCGGGCCTCAAGAAACTTGCGTACACGAAGCTCGTATAGCTGCCAGTTTCAACTTGCCTATGATATCCTACGTAAGTCAAAATTTTGTATCAATTTTCCTTGTAGCGAAGTACACCTTTTCTTTATTAACCCATTCTATGTTTTTGGCTACGCGGAATATGAAACGTATAGATAATGTAAAGTACGTTGTTTTTTATACTTACTAAAGAGTTTATAATTTCTAATGGCAATTTGCATTTATTTTTTTTCTATTTGCTTTGTAAGAGGTACCCTCTTAACTTACGAACACTATGGAGTTTTGAAACAACTATTTGTGGAATAATATACTTATTTCTGTACAACGTTTCGTCTCTAACAGTTAGACACGACCGACCACTCACAACTTTAACGATACATTATCATTTCTCACTGTTATAAACGAAACGTTGTATGAAAATAAATCTATTTCCCCATTGTTTGTTTATTTGTTTGGAATTAAGCACGAAGCTACACAATGGGCTATCTGTGCTCTGCCCACCACGGGTATCGAAACCCGGATTCTGTCGTTGTAAGTCCGCAGACATACCGCTGTGCCACTAGGATGCCTATTACCCCACAACTAGCTGTTTCAAAACTTTATATTTTTTGTATTTAATTTCTCTACTAACTTCACAATGGGCTATCTGTGCTATGCCCACTCTACTAACTTCAATCAATTTTTTAGTGGCAGTATGGCCGTTTTATTGTCTCTACAATGAAGAAAGAAACGTTTTTTTTCTGAAAATCTAACTTCTCAGATTTATCTGCCACTGATCATGCGTTATATATTTGTAATTATTCAGAACCTGCTAAGCTAATTCAAGGCACAATAAAATAATCTTCAAACAGGAGAGAATGGAAGGTCTATAATAAAACACAAGTTTACGTTATACATTAATCCCATAAGGGCAGTTTTTCGCAAACATTTTCGTTTGTTTGTTTGTTTTGAATTTCGCGCCAAGTTACACGAGGGCTATCTGCGCTAGCCGTCCCTAATTTAGCAATGTAAGACTAGAGGGAAGGCAGCTAGTCATCACCACCCACCGCCAACTCTTGGGCTACTCTTTTACCAACGAATAGTAGGATTGACCGTCACATTATAAAGCCCTCACGGCTGAAAGGTTGAGGTTTAGTACGTATTTCACTCAAGAAATGAGTGATTCTCCAATTTGTCCGTGATGAGTTTTTTTTTTACATGAAGTATTGTAACAGGAAAAACATAAAAATTGCTCAATATAACGACATATGTGAACCCTAAATTAGTGAGCCGTACGTGAGCAAGCCGGCAATTTGAAGGTTAATGTTAAGCCTACAGATTTTTTTAAATACTTCGAACCAATTGATTGGTTTAAATACACAAAACCAGGTAGCCAGGTGGTTAGGGCGCTCGTCTCACAATCTGAGGGTCGCGGGCTCGAATCTCCCTCCCACCAAACATGGTTAGCAATTGTTGAGGTTAACTTCAATGTTGAAAGGAGAATCACTCATTTCTTGAGTGAAATACGTACTAAACTTTAGCAATTGTTGAGGTTAACTTCAATGTTGAAAGTATGACTTATTTTATGACGTTATTGCGGATCCTCAAATCAAGAAAGTCTGTGGAACACTCGTAATTTGATACAGAAATAGTTAGGAAAAAAATAATGTTAAAAAGTCCTGAACAGAGGTAGAGATTAAATAAATAAATATATATATTTAAACAAGAGATTCGAATAAATATTAATACTTTAAATACATTTTCTGAACATATCACTTTCTGAGAACGTGTGCTGTTCATCCTTTACAGGTTTTTAGCTACGAACTGAAAAAATCTCAAGTCACATGAGACTCCTGGGGATAATGTTAATTTGGATAAAACCAGAAAACGGTCAAATTAAAAACACAAGAACGGTGTTATAAATGTGATTTCTCTACAGTTAAACACTTCATATTACATGAGACCCTTATAACAAATGCATCAATTAAAGAAATTTATAAAAAAAATGAGAATATTTTATTACAATGGTCTTATACAAATCGGTCACCAGGTGGCTTATTGATAATCTTGACACCTTAAAGAGTTAAAATGCAGCGTCCTATGTTAACCGACAGGCAGCGCCATTGTGCAGCTTTGACTTGAACAACAACAAAAAAACGATAGAAAAATTATATCTGCGGGTCGCGGTTTCGAATCCCCGTCACACCAAACATGCTGGCCCTTTCAGCCGTGGGGGCGTTATAATGTGACGGTCAATTCCACTTTAGCTTTGCGCGAAATCCAAAGAAACAGATTTGAATGCTGCATCTTGGAGGTTCAATTATAAACATATACACGACGATAGGCATCTTATAGTCTTAGAGTTAAAGTTTTAACGGAGGGATACCACTTGGAGGTTCAATTATAAACATATACACGACGATAAGGCATCTTATAGTCTTAGAGTTAAAGTTTTAACGGAGGGATACCAATTAAAAACTTTCATCACATTTCAGAAAGGAAAATGTCGTTGTATATAAAGTCTTATTTCTTGTTATTCTCTTTAGCAGTTTCTTATAACTGATTTTCATCGATGTCCAAACTCGAGATCATATTCAGACTTTAACCCATAAAAAAAAAAAGCTTTTGCCCGAAATTTCGCCCATTCGGTAAACGAAGGGCTGTTATCTGAAACGTCGCCCCTTACATTGTTTTTAACACAATAATTCACGTTTCGTTTTTTAACTGAGCCCATTCGGTAAACGAAGGGCTGTTATCTGAAACGTCGCCCCTTACATTGTTTTTAACACAATAATTCACGTTTCGTTTTTTAACTGAGCCCATTCGGTAAACGAAGGGCTGTTATCTGAAACGTCGCCCCTTACATTGTTTTTAACATAAATAATTCACGTTTCTTTTTTTAACTGAGTTTAACTTTTGAAGTTGTTTTATTGAATTCGGAATTATTTTATGTTTTTTTTTGGAAATCAGCACATTTTCTTTTATTATACGTTAGAGTAATAACTGGAGTTAATTATCACTTTTTAGCCGCGGCACAACGGCTCATAGAAGGGTTTTTCAAGTACAAACTTTTAACTCATAGCTCCATCATCTCCTGACCGATTCAAGGTCTAATTACAGTTTTAGACTCAGGAGATCAAACCTTTTCGACTGATGTATTTGTCCACGCTCAAGGTCTCATAGATTAGTTTATTCTAATCCTGCCTCTAAGAATTTCAATTTGAGAGTAGGCTGGTAGAGATCCTGATGACTGATAAATCGAATCGGGTATACGCGCGCCCTGCGCTTAGTATTGCTGGCGCACACAAATATAGCTAATAAAAAGGAAAGAAAAAAAAAAGGTATCCAAGATTAATTTACTCTTAACCTGTCCAAAAGAAATTCAGTTTGAGAGTAGGCTGGTAGATATTTAATTATTACTAAATTTACATTGGAATGTTTGTCCTTTTTAATTTTTTTTAGACATTTTTGATTTATTATTGTGTCAAATATTCAGTCTTGAAACGATCATTTGCTGTATCAAGGAGAAAAACTCATTCTGGGTGAAGGGAGGTTAATAATGAAAACATTACAAGAACACAATATTAGTTGATAGAACAATTTCGTGTTTAATAATGACATTGAACCTGCTGATGGGAGGATACTAAGACAAATTGCATTGAAGTGTTGGGTTTATCCAATGTGTTAATAATGATGTGGAAGTCGCATGAAGTTGAACTGGATAATGAGTAAATAATTCTGGATAATGAGTGAACAATTCTGAATAATGAGTGAATAATTCTGGATAATGAGTGAATAATCCTGAATAATGAGTAAATAATTCTGGATAATTAGCGAATAATTCTGGATAATGAGTAAATAATTCTAGATAATGAGTGAAAAGTTCTAGATAATGAGTAAATAATTCTGAATAATCAGTGAATAATTCTGAATAATGAGTGAATAATTCTAGATAATGAGTGAAAAGTTCTAGATAATGAGTAAATAATTCTAGATAATGAGTGAATAATTCTGGATAATGAGTGAATAATTCTAGATAATGAGTGAAAAGTTCTAGATAATGAGTAAACAATTCTAGATAACGAGTGAAAAGTTCTGGATAATTAGTGAATAATCCTGAATAATGAGTAAATAATTCTGGATAATTAGCAAATATTTGCATCAATAGAAATGTATAAGAAATCTTTCTTTTTAACATTTATTAGTTTCTTTTTCTTCGAAAATACGTGAAAGTGCCTTATAGCAATCGATAACTTATTCTTCACCTCCATTCATACTCGGATTTGAAAAGCTAGGCTTGGAACATTCTGGAGGATCAGTTCTTTCTTGTTGGGGCTTGGAACATTCTGGAGGATCAGTTCTTTCTTGTTGGGGCTTGGAACATTCTGGAGAATCAGTTCTTTCTTGTTGGTCGTAAGTTACATCCAAACGTATTTTGCAAGCTGTTTCTGCGTCTGTATAAACTCCAGTCACACTCGGCTTTGAAAAGCTAGGCTTGGAACATTCTGGAGAATCAGTTCTTTCTTGTTGGTCGTAATTTATTTCCAGACATATTTTGCCCCCCCCCCAGTAGCACAGCGATATGTCTGTGGACTTACAACGCTAGAATCCGGGTTTCGATACTCGTGGTGGGCAGAGCACAGGTAGCCCATTGTGTAGCTTTGTGCTTAATTACAAAACAATACAAGACATATTTTGTAAGCTCTTTCTCCTTTTGTGCGTTTGTACGCACGAACTATCTTTTTTATCTCTATGGTTACCTTAAACCCGCGATTACTCATATGGACCTCGGGTCATTTCTCAAATAATCAGGTAAGAAATGTGGGTTTTACTTTGATTAAAACTTTTGATAATCCCGAACCTGCGTTATCAATTAACGAAACGCCGCTAGATCGGAATGTTCCCACATCTCACCAAAGCCCTCATATCATTACATACCATTATCATTTCCCGAAAAGACTGCTGTCACTAATTATGCGGAAGTAATTGTTCATTTAGTCTTGGAACATGATGGCTCTGTGTGTGTGTGTGTGTGTAAACATCAAACACACGAGAACCGTAATTAATTCCGTTTCT